CAAACACCCAATGTTTCCAAACACTCCCAATTAGATATTTATTTTAATTCATCATTATCTCAATTAAAATCCATTAGTATATATTTAATATATATATATATTAACATTTAACAATAATGATAATTTATTTAAATATATGCTAGCAAATATTTAAATGTAATTTCACTTATTTAATTTTTCTAACAAATTAAATAAAAGGCTACGACCTTAGCAAATTTAATTGCACTGTGAAATTACCAAAATACTCCTTCGCCTAAAAATACAAAAATGCCCTTCTTACTTCCTGAGTCTTAAATTATCTTCTATGTGTGTGACCCATGGGCTCCTCATCATACCGGTAGTGTATAGCATCGCGATTAACACCAATTAATCGTCTTACTAATACACAGACCAAGATTGACCCCTAGCAAGGCACCATGGCCACTCGATAGATTCGGATTCAGCAAAGTAGCTACCTATCAACAATATGGTTATCCTACAATTCAATTCTTTCATCATACGTTATCTCGACGAGAGGAAGGCATAGAAATGGTGTCAACCCTCGATTACTCTTGATATTATGTATTCAGTTTCTGGACCAATGACCTGTATTATAAACTGGATAGAGCAACAACTCAATCCCACTGTGGCCACAATTTTAGTGTCATTTCCATATACTGAATTGCGCCGTGAGATAACTTCTCCCGTACCCGGCAGTGATGAATCCTCTGTCTATCCACCATAGTCTTGATACACTCCTTGATGCAGCCAATCACCACCGTATTGACAGCTTTGAATAGAACTGCATTAGGCTAGTGTCAAACTGCACCAATCGGTGCACAAGGCGCTCCGATGATCTTAAGTCTAAGGATCACATGCACCACCATTCGTTAGAGGATTTGTTCCATAGACACTGGGATTACCATCCATATGGAATCCTCTGGTGGGTCAGTCCAGTGAACTTACTGCGGTGTATTCGCCTACAACAAGCACCCATGTGTTGCACCAAGCTGTCACCAAACAACCTTGACAAGTGAGATTAGTCACTGCCTTTCGATAGGGTCGTTCAATACTATGATAGCCTTACCGTATTATTTATGCCCTTACTTTAGAATAATACTAAGGCTACGGACGTTTCTAGAATGGCCACCATATGGCTCATAGGGTTCTCACTATCAAGATTTGAAACACTTCATACCCTCGTCATGGTTCTACCATTCTAAAGACATATATCAATACATATTGCAATAATAATGATTTACGCGATATAGAATAAAATACCTTTTATTGATTAATGAACATTATTACAAAGAGTCAATTCTACAATAATTGATTGGCTCTACGGCATCTACTCTAACACTTCTTACAAACTGTACAAATTCTTCTTTCTTATTCTTAAGCCACTCACTGAAGGCGGTGTGCATGTAGGTATACTTTGCTGGGTACAGTCCTCGTCCACATGCACTTCTTACGGACTGTACAAATTCTTCTTTCTTATTCTTAGGCCGCTCACTGAAGGGGCATGCATGTGGGAATATTCTTCTTCTCTGTCACTCACGGGTTCCCCATCACAACAACCTTATTTTCTCTTATCTTTCTTTTAAAAAGTAGTACTCAGTTTCTTTTCTTTTCTTTAATCATTTTCTTTCTTTCTCTTTGTTCTTTAGTATGCTTATATGCATGTATACATGTAGGTAGGCTTTTTCTTATTATTCTTTCTTAATTTAACTATTTAAATGCAAGAATGAAATATGGCATATAGACATGCGATTCTCTACTTTCTTTACCATTTACAAACTCACACCAAAATAACATGCTATCATATCAATACATGCACTTCACTTTGAAATTTCATCAAACACTTTGTATACACAAACAAACACTAAATTAGCTACACTTCTATCTCTCTTTCTAACTACAAAGATTTGGGCCAAAATTCTCTAAAATCATCTTCAAACCTGGCCAGGAATTCTCACTCCATAATTCTACTCAAATTCTTTCTTAACTAATCCAAACTTCCATCAATCACAATATACGCAAACCCTACTTCTTATGGTGGAATTCTAACCAACACTCAACATCAATTCCATCAACAATTCTCAACAAGCACATAAATACATATAAAATATTTCTCTTACACGATTCTTGCTTAAATCATGACTAGGGTTGGATTTACTTACCTTGAATTTGAGTAGTCCCAACACTAGAATCTCTCTTTGGTAGACTTCATCTTCCTCTTAAACCCTAAGCATTTAAAACTATAAGAGTTCAACACTTTAAAAATCTAATCTCACATCTTGGTGCAAGAATCTTACCTTGGATGCTTAGGATTGAAATTCTGCCAAAATCCTATAAATTTCCTTGGAAATTTGGTGAAGAAAATTTGAGAGAATATGGGGTAAAAGTGGCGTGAGATAAGGCAAATGTGTCTAGGGTTTCAATTCTTGAACCCTTAATATCACATAATATTATTTATACTTTCCTATTTTACTCTTGCACTTTCTATGAAATTCCATCTTTGCCCTTTAATCAATTACAATAGTGCCTTCATTTCCATTGCATTCTACTACTTTTCACTCTCCACACTTTCAACCAATTATGGGTGGAATGACCATTTTGCCCTTAAGCAAGTTTTTCCAAAATTTTCTCAAAAATTCTAGCAAGTTCTTTGCCCTAGTGAAAACGTTTCTTCGCCTCAACGAGACATTCCAGAGCATACGTTGCTGCAGCGAACTTCTTTCCTTGCCATGGCTAAGTTTGTAATTCTAAGAACATGATTTGGGCAGTGTGTACAATGCCGCGGCGAAAAACTCCTTTGCCGCAACAAGGTCTGCAAATTCTAATTTTTCAATCTTTCACCTTGAAATAAGTAAAACTAAGGGCATTAGAACATAAATAACGTACCTCAATGTGGGTGTTACAAAAATATAGTAGATTACTATTTGAGGGAAAAAAATATTGTTGACAAAAATACAGGTCATTTCATTCAATTTCATTTGCCTTGACCAAATCTTGCAACTTCACCTATGGAGGCCAAGAATCATGAAGGGCATATTTGGATTTCCTTGAGATGAGTGTTGTCTAAATACATATATATGTGCACAGAAGAGCTTGATGTTTGGCCATTAATGGCATCCATTGAACTAGCTCTTTATAAGTTTGTTTAATCAAATAAAACATTTATAGCTTGTTTACTTTTGTTCCACAAAGGCACAAATACAGCTGTCATCTTTAAAGCTAACAACATTTGAATAAATCAGTGGCAAAATATAGTAATATACCAGAGTGAGGAGTTGCTACCTTGTTGGGTTGCAATACGGTGATTCAGTGGCTGAGAGTGAGACAGCGATAGCGTTAGAGTGACAGAAATTGAGAGATTGAGCTGCTTCAGACAACTACGACGTGAGAGCGACAAAGATTGAGAGATTGAGCTGCGTGAGACAGCGATGGCTTCAGACGGCGATGATGTGAGACGATGAGAGTGAGAGAGATTGTTAGATTCAGAGTTGTTGTCGTGCTGCGTGAGACGGCATGACCGTGAGAGTGACTGCATGAGAAGCTTTCCGTCAGAGTGAGAGAGATTGAGAGCTGCTGTTCATCAGTGTGAGTTTGATAGCTGTTGTACTGCGTTGTTGATGTGAGTTTGAGAGAGTTTCAGTCGATTTATTTTTTTTCAATTTAGGCTTAGGGTTTTGTTTTGTTTCTTCAAATTTTCAAATTAAGTTTTATTTTTTATTTTTTTATTTAAATACGAGTACCTGCAGGCATTACCCGGCCCACCTGCTTTTTTCACGAGCAAGCTGGGTGGGCAATTTTTATACAAGTAATTTTCAGAGGTACTCGTACTACCCGTTTGATGCAAGTACCCGTTGACCCATGTGTACAGGTACCTTTTTGCAAGATCTAATTATTCACATAAAAACACACATTCTATAACTAATTTCATAGTAGTGGAAAGTAATTTACCAGATTTGGATTCAACATTTAGTGTCTAAAATTGTTGGAATTTACAGCTAATTTCTTGCTCAGTAGATAATACATTCTTCGACTAACATAATAGTCGTGAAACATTTTTACCAAATTACCCTTACACATTTAGCAACTAATTTTTTTGAAATTCGCGGCTAATTTTTTTCTCACTAAAGGGTATATTCTTCAACTCATTGATTAGTCGCGATACAATTTAACCAAATTGCCCTTACACATTCAGCGTCTAAGTCAAAAGACTATTTCAAACAACAATTAGTAACAAAATTGTTAATTGCTAAAAAAAAAACTTTTTGCGTCTAACCTAATATTTAGTTTCCCATTCTTTCTACGACAGTGATTCTGGAACTACATGGCAATTACGTAAATTTAGACGCATAAAACAATTAACATCTACATTGGACGATTTGCGTCTAATTTTGCTAGATGCTGAAAGCCATTTTTCTTGTAACGTTTGTTTTTAATCAGGTTTCATATACTTTGGTAGGCTTACAAATACATTTGTTTAACCTTGCTTGTTAATGGTTGGAATGTGGTTCCATTGGTGATGCTTGATGGGATTTCAAGCTATTAGAGCTGAAGTGCGCCTTCGGTGTTAATTATTGAGAGGAGCTCAAGGTTGTTCAGGAGGTATCTTGGCATGAAGCTTGTTGTGGTAGTTCGAAGTTCAACCAAAGGGTGAAGTTTGAAGTATTGTGAATCAAGGAGTGTTCTTGCAATTAATGCTTAACTTTGGCTTTATAATTGAATTATAAATGTTTATCATAGTGGATTAGCTTCATCTAAACTTGGTCTTATGGATGTAGGTAGGTTGCCGAAGCATGTAAAATTGCCTTGTGTGCTTTACTTTTTGTCTTGGATGTTTAGTTTATGAATAACTCAACTCAAATGCACAAATCAATATGTTTAACCCATTCCACTCAAAAGCTTAATCAACTTGGTAAAGTGATAAAACTTTCATTTATTAATACATAGGTTTACTAATAAGTCTTTTTAATGGCAATATGAGTAAAACGAGTCTGAAAAAAGTTATGTATACTCTATAAATACAATAAATATTTATTGTGTATTCTTTATAAGTACAATAAATATTCATTTTATTAATACATAAATTTACTAATATGTCCTTTTAATGCCAAAATGAGCAACATGAGTCTGAATAAATTTTATTACTATGATGTATCAAATGTGACCTTACTTCGGAGATTCAATTAGTTCCCATGATAATTTAAAAGCTTTTTATCGGCAATAGAACCTTGTTACGATATTCTGCTAAAGCCCACAATGGGAATATATTCCTATATGTAGGATAGTGCAACGTGCAATTCCTCATGAAAACTCCCATGATTTCCTACAAGTAAAAAATTAATTATTTAGTTCTTGATAAACATTATACACTAACCAATATAACATTAGTTAATAATTTAAAAATGGTACATATAGAATTTAACTTTTTACTGTTACATTGTTATCAGTCTCATGCTCTAAGTTACCAATTTCACATCGCATGTTATGAATTTTACATCTTTTGAGTATTAATAATGGTATGATATTATCGTGCAAAACCCTTATTAAAGTTAAGTCTCCAAATAAGATTGAATACTTTGGTATAGGACTAATTTGTGGCATAAATGTTAAGGAAAAATTAAACTCAGAATAAAGCTAGAGTTACCTCTTGAGGATAATCACCATTTTCAAATTGAGAATTGATCAACAACTTTATACCTCGTTGAATAGGTATCGGATCTCTGATAGCCTACGATAAAGTAAATTTTAAATTTTCAATCATAGACTATGAAGAAATAATTCATTTACGAATATAAGATAGACAATGTAATTGAGTTTACCTGTCCCGAATGAATTAAACCAATCAAAGCCCACGCAGTTTGTACCAAATTTGATCTTTTACCTTCAAGAGGTGTGTATATCTATATCACCAAAAGTAAGAGGATAAGTTTTCTTTTGGCTATGGTGCAGAGTAATCAACATGGATAGTCTTTTACGGGTTTGTATTGGGCTCAAAATTTTGTTTGTGGATATGAAGTCCCAAATAAAAATCATGCAAGCAAGGTCAAGTGTAGACATCATTATAAATGGTATTAAAGCCATAGTGTGGACCAAGGATTTAGTGGTAAACCTAATGTTTCTTCGAATTAGTTTACGTTGAAGTTTAGCCAGAGACATGTGGTTTAGAAATATGGTATAAAGTTGTTGCTGTGCCCAACTGCTTACTAAAAGATTATTAGGTATAGTTATAAACACAACAATAATGCTGGAAACTTGCTACACTTGAAAAAACAAGGAGATCGTAATCTAATAGGAGAATTGAAATTCAGGTTGAGTATAATGATGAAATTGAATTAGAACAAGAAAATAACAGCAAGGAGAATGCATAACAAGATAAAAATTGTTGCAAGATTATAATTGATCAAATGAACATGGTAGGAGAACCATCAAACCACCCCAAAGACATTGACTATCAATAAAATATTTTCTTCTGCTGCAAAACATAGTTCAAGTAGAACTAACTTAGTAATTGGTTCACAATTAGATCTTCACCTTGATCAATTAGATGTCACGACAACTTTTTTCCAAAGTGATCTTGATATGCAGATTTATATGAGATAACCAATTAGATATTTAGCACGAGGGAAGGAAGATCATGCTTGTCTAGTGAAAAAACCCTTGTATGCACTAAAGTAAGCAATTAACATGTCAATGGACTGAAGTAATGGATTAAAAATGGCGTTCATAAAAATAGATATGATTGTGATGTTTATCATAAAAAGCTAGATCAATGTGGATAAATTGATTTACTCTTATATGTTGATGATATATTAGTGGTTTGCAAAGACTAACAAGAGATCAAGCTTCTAGAGCAACAACTAAATGAAATTTATTTCTAAGATCAATAGTTGTTACTGATTTCAAAATACAAGATGGAGAATTAGTTGTTTTGACTTTTGCAAGAGAGAAATGGCTTTAGAAATCTATTGCAAAGTTTTCTTGATGTGACCAATTTCTTCGTGAAAGACTATTACATTTAGTTATGTTGATCTAGGAAGGAAGTATTAAGAATAACTCCGATAAGGTAGCTACTTTTAATGTATTAGATACATGAGGAAAATTCTGTTGAAATTTTTTTTATATGACCGATGTAACTTTCTTCCAGTGAGTGATCTTTAACAGCTTCCTCTTTTTAGTAGATGTAGCATCACATTGAATCCGAACCACATAAACTCAGTTTTTATTGTTTACTTGCATAAATTTTGTTCTTTATTTTTAATTTGTGAAGTTTTGTTCATGTTGTGTGTGAAATAATTAAACTAAGTCCAAATTTTTGGGGTTAAAGATCCTACAATTTATATTTTGCCTATAAAGAAAGCTAAGAGCCTAAACTCTTCCAAAATTAGAAAGCTCACTCAATTAAGATAGCCTTTCTTTATTGTGAAACATGCACAGAGATTTGCGGTCTCACAAAGATGATATTAATAAGAGACATGACTGGACATGAAGAAATTGACACTGAATACTAATAAATACAAAATAATTTACCTTATTTGCGCAAGAAAGATAGCTATCTCCCCAACCACCATCTTCACCTTGCAATTTTAGCAGAAAATTAACTGCTCTACGCAAAGGCAAAGAATTGTCGTAAGTCTTGCCAGCAGCAACCAAACCTCCAATGGCAAAAAAAGTACCATATATGAAGCAAACTCCCCAATTTCCATACCTGAAAGCATGTTTGGCTATTTAGTAATTTTTTTTCCCCAACAATTTGATGAGAAGATATTGTTGAAAAAAAATAAATTCTAAAATTATTTTTATTTCTTACAATTAATATAAAATGGAGAAGTTTGTTTATCTTTATATTTTTTCGACTCATTTACATTTGAAACATGGAGAAAAGTATATTAGTTTAAACTGCCTGCAGACTACATAAAATTATTAGTCTGTTAATCATAACCATTCATCTATTACTATTTTTTTAATGGATAATAATTAAACTAATAGTAATCATTAAAACACAACAAGTTTTTCAATAGATATAAATATATATAATATAGAAAAAAAAAGAAATATACCATGAACCATCTTTAAGTTGTTCCTTTTCGATGTATTGCACAGCTTTTTGGATGAAATTATTAATCTCTTTAGGTCTTTGATTTGGGTATAATTTCTGAAACAGAACAAATGCCTGGATTGCTGCTGCAGTGCACTCAATATACCTAAATCACTTGTCTTTTAGCATATATATGCAAGGAATTCAAACAAATCAATTTGTAAAATTGCAAAAAGGGAAATGATAAAAGGTGTTTTGCTTACGTGTGCTCAACAACAAGGTCCTCAAGAAACTCTACAGGATTGAGCCACTGAAGAAGAATACCAAAACAAGGCAGAGACATTGTCAAGGATTTTGAAATTACGAAAATAATGGAAGATTATTTCATTAATATTGCTAAAGTATCTACCTCCAAAAGTAGTGAAGCACCTGCTGGCTCCCAAACTGCTAACCCTCCATTGTTATCCTACGATCATTAATTTGTAAAATTCCATGAGTTAATATTATTAAAATAAAGTGATGCATATTCTACAAAGCATGTGATGGCATGATGTGTCAATGAATTAAGTAACTCCACCATGAGTCATCCAAGTACATGCCAAAAATAAGTGAGACAGTAGCCGTGATTTAGCTACTAAGCAAAGTTGTACCACGAATCCACAAATTAGACCATGATAAAGTTGGGTAAAGGAGTTAGCATACAAATTATGCCATATGGCTTCATGTATCATCCAAGAAGAAATGTAGCTAATGAATCAACAAGAATCGCTTCATGCAAAGTGATATTTTATGCTTGTATTAACTGCCTAAAACAATTATAAATAAGCATGCTTCTTTATTTGTAGATCATCACAAACACTAGAAATTGAGAGTTATTAGCAAGGGAGTAAGCTAGCTCTTAACCGTGTACTCTCTTTGATAATAGAAATTTCTATCTCTATATTATAGTCATCACAAATACAAACAGTTATGTCCAGGCTACAATTAGCAAACTGAAACATACTTTAAGCATGGAATTAGTTAATCCTGACCTGAAGAAAAAGTATGAAATTGACAGCCTCGAATAGCCACTCAGGTTCCATTTTCTCTCCAACAATATCAGGATGCATCATTGAGAGAAGTAGGCAGCACTACGAATAGAATAAATAATTAAATAAAGATTCGGCTTCAACTTTTGTTTCTTTATGTTAAAAATTCATCAATCAATTACCTTAAAACTCTCAGCAGTGCAATCAGAAACTGGCCATCCGTGATCTTGATCAGAGAAAGGCCAAGCTCCTTTGGAAATGTGACGGAACATGCTTTTAAAGTCGCCAAGAGGATTATCCTTGATCTTCAAAAATTTCAATTTAATGGCATGATTTAATGAAGGCCAGAGCAAACTGAAGAACAAAAATTTATATGCATGCTATAGTATAATTCCAGAAATGCTTGCAGCATTTAAATATGAAAACCTGAGTTTTTTTTAAAAAGTGATGTCCTTTAGCGACTGTAGGTCCAAATTCATCAATGAGGTTGGTAGCAATAAGAGCTTGAAGACCAAGAGAAGTATCCCAAACTTGACTGCCGAACGTCTACATAAGGATTACAAGTATTAAATTAAGCATTATATTTCTATCTCGGCTTACTGTAAAGAATTTGTGGATATATCTTTTACCCATCTCAAATAGTGGGGTCTTGATTCTAAATTCAAAATATCTCGACAGATTTACAATATCTTGACAATGTGTCAATTCTATTTATTGTTACTAACTATGAGTACTAACCTGAATCTTCATTCCATCTTCCGCAAGCCAAAAGTAATCTTGAATTCTAGCAAGATGCTTCTTAAACGGAACTCCATTGGGATCTTCAACCCAACAAGCAAGCATACACAATGGCTATTCAATTCAATTTGCGTTAATTCAATTGTCATCTATTTTTTAGATATAGTTTGAAAAATAATAGTAGTTCAAATATAAGAATTAATTTTACCTTTTCAACACTTCCGATAGTTATGTATCGACTACTCTCATCTTCATAATGAATCAACTTCATTGTTTCTTGAAGTGCCCTCTCTCTAATGAGCTTCTTCAAAGGCCAACGGGTAAGGAGAGGCTCAGTTGCTAAGTAAAGACTATCCCAAAGTACATCTTGTACGAATGGATGGGGATAGTACAAATCTTCCTGCGATAACAATATTTTATTAGTTAATATACGCTCTATATGCATAAAAAAACCATTTTCTGTGTAATTATGATTGCCAAGAGAAGGGTAAACTCACCTTTGCACATAGATGACGCACTTTCCTCCAGTTGATTTCATTGTAAGGTTGAGTGTGGAGTTCATCTCTTAGTTGTTGAATTAGTGGTGTAATTGGACCAACAAATCTCTTCCCATATAAATAAGAAAGTGGCATGTAAACAAGTCGACAATAACACCACATTTTTGCTGCATTCATGAGGAAAACTGTCAATTAAATAACTATAAAACAAGCACAAAATAAACAATATTGAAGCTTAAGTGGGGAAAACAAAAAAATTCAGCCAATATTGCCAATAAAGATGGAGTGTGAGATGCACAAACAAGGATGAATTGGGAAAAAAGAAGGAAGGATCCAAAACTCTGGAGGCATTGGGTTGATTCCAGACCAATCAAAAACACCAAGAATCTGTAGCATATATAGGAAAAACAAATAAAAGATATTAGGATAAAAAAAATTTATTGTTCCTCAAATACTTTAGATATGGTCATACCGAAAGCCAATTTTTGCCCCAGGAAGGTATATATGTTACACCACCACGGTCGCGGATCCATTTTCGAGCTCTCGCAAGAGCATTATTTTCACCATCATCAGGTCCGAATCCCAGTAGACGAAAACAAATGTAAGTAAGAACTGTGCCAAACATGCTGCTATGGTCCTCTATGTGCATTCCCCATCCACCATCTTCATGCTGCAGCAGCGAACACAATCAATTTTACGATCAAAGTTAAATGTATAATGTTTTTCAATTCCCCTTTCTAAATAAAATCAGTACCTGATGATTGTAAAAGTAACGGAGGACTTCCTTGCGATGCTCAGCTGTGAATACAGTATCAAGATGCCCTGTAATGTAACAGCACATTACCTGGAATGTGCATAGATAGAGATGGAAGAGTTTTACTCATCAACATGGTCCAAATATTGAACAAATATACCACTTTCCAAAAAATTAAAACAATCTATTGAGATATTTTTCATTAGGTGAAATGGTTAGTAACTTTCATGAGATAGTTTGAAAGTATATATGGCCACAAATAATGAGCACAAAGGGCACTTACAAAAGGTTGAATGAAATAGAATGGGCCGGCATTTTCCGAAGGCCAATGACCATCGCTGGCTTGTATAGCTGAAAAGAAATGGGCAGCTCTCCTCATTGCAGTCGTTGCAGTTTCATACGTAATTTCCTCACAATCCTTAACCTTCACCTGTGGTATTGTTTGTTTGAAGTTCTGCTCTCTCAGGAACTACGTTTGTCCAATAAAAAGAAAATAACTAAGCCTCTTCAACATTACATTGAGATTTCAAATTTACAAAGATGCTTAGATGGTGTAATTTATTAGAGGAAATTTAGAGCATCAATGATCGAAAGAACTTAGATATTTTCTTCACTGGGGTTAAATCTCATAGTATACTAAAATAATGAAAAGAACTTTACATATATAATATATTACAAAATTAAAAGACATATTCATAGTATTTTCGTCATATAAATTTATAATTATTTAATGAATTAACCAAAGGTGTTAAGTTTCGATTAAAATTGAATTGAAGATAATATAAATATTCTTAATTATTATTATCTTTATTGAAAGAATTTATAAATCATTTGTCGATTTATTATTAATTTTATAGACCATTTAAAATGATTTACTAAAAATAAATCAACATAATGGAAATATATCGACCATGTATAAAAGTCGACAATTATAATAAATTTGGAAATATTTAAATATGAACATAATGTGAGAGAAACTAATTGATCCTGAAATTAAAAAGAAATTTAAAGAAATTAAACTGTAAAAAGTAAAACCATACAAATAAACACAAGGTTACATATGGTGAGTGGGATCAGCAGCCTCCACTCGCCTCAGTGTAGGTCTATGTATTAACCATACCTGTAACCGCCAAAGTACATCAGCAGATGGCTTAACCTGATGACTATTGTTACGATAATTTTGGCGGGCCTCTTCAATTTCAGCCAGCTCTTCAGGTGTTCCTGCACTTGGATCAAATTCCCATATTTGTCTCCCCACATAACTGTTTGTGCTAGATATGTATGGGCTATCACCACCCTTCGCAATCTTCAGCCTCCACATATTAATTAATTGCTCTGAGACACAACCCATTTCATGTTATATATCAAGATGATGCTATGAGCATTCAAGTCTTAAAACTGTAATGGCATTATCAATACAGTATGTTAAAACGTATAGTAGATACCTCACTTGATATTTATTTCAATTAATAATAAATTACCACCAAAAAAAAAAAAAAAAAAAGAAAAAAAAAAAAAAAAAACGCACACACTTTGCATTTTCTAAAATGCAAAGAAATATAATCATGAATAATATCATCAATGTATTGGATAAAAAATTAATTTGGTTTGATTCATTATTTGAAATAGAAAAGAAAATTTGTTAGCATTGGATCCGTCCACCACATTACATACACATTCTTTTATTCCACATGAGGCAGAGAGAGTATTTACTATGAAAACAAAGAGAAAGAAATAGTATACAGTTTCTAGAAACGCAAAGAAATCCAATCTCGAACGCCGTACAATTCTTTTTGCCAAGAAATATCATTTAAATTCTGTTATTCGCATACGGGAAGTTTGTGTTTTTCTTCTTCTGTTCCCTTTTTTTTCTTTTTGGCTTTTGTCAGTCCATGCAATATATCCTATTTCTTATTGGCTTTATATTCGATCTCTCTCCATAAAAACGATACCAACTAGACAAAGAAAGCTGAAAAATCATAAGGAATATGACTGTAAATTCGTGAGAAAGATTTGTAGAATAAAAATTTAAAAAAAAAAATGTCCGAATAGAAAAGGAAAAGGAAAAAGAAAAGAAAAAAAGAAAGACGAAGAAATAAGAAACTAGTTAGCAAATCGTAGGAACTTACTATATAGAAAAGAGATAGGTTGAAGTTGCCTGCAGTGGAGATGGATTGACGGGGAAGTTAATTCACACGCCTATATTTATAGATAAGTTGAATGTGTTTCGATCTAACTATCCATCCTTACAAATGAACTGTTAACAAGTTGACTTGAAGAAGATTCTTAGCTCGTTTTAAATGTAATAATATTTATGCAGATGGAGAATGCGAACGTTGAAAGTACCTAACAATGACGGGCTACTGTCGTAACATGTACAAGGTCACCCAGGTACAATAAATTTTCTGAGCATTGAAAGTAACGTAACGATAAATTTTCTGAACTTTTATAAATATATCGATTTTTTCCTTGGCCTCTAAATACAACTTCTGAAATTCATTTTATACTTTGAATTTCTTGTTTGTTGAACATTAGACTTTGTTTGAATTCCTAACTTCGCCCTTGAACATGAATTAACTATCTTTAATCTATGCCTATCGAAATGGAGTTCCCGAATCAAAAGCCTAAGACATCTATTATTATAATATCACAACCAGGGATTGAGGAAAGAACGGAAAGGTGGGGGTAGCTGTCCCCACTGGATATTTTTTTAAAAGTATGCCCTTTCTTGTAAAATATCAGAAATCTAAAAAAACCTAACTTCATGTTAGCAAGGTACCCTGATAGAAATGTGTAAAATGAAAGAGTGTGACTGTGGATCATGAAAAATGTCTTCTATATACCTTTAACACATAGTAATCACATTTAACATTTGTTGAATGCTCGGAACACTAAAAATAATGAAAAAATATTTTGTAAGAGAAAATGTAAAACAACAAGATAATTAAGAAAATGTGAATGATGATTGTTTGATTTTTGTTAAGAAGTTATTTGTCCTAGTAATCTAAAAGCACTTGAAAAAAAAAGAAATTGTGAATCATGATTTTATTCAAAGAATCAACTGGAAAAAAAAAAGAAACCCAACCAACCAACTAATAACCATATATTACTAAATCAATTCGAAATAGTAAACTCTCCAAATAGTAGAAGTCTTTATTTTTCAATAGTTGGGAGGTTTGGACGTTTGGTACATTATTTAGATCCCAAGTCAAGCCAAACGAAATAATTAGACCAAAAGACGACTATGTGGCAGAAAAATGCACAATAAATAAAACAAAAAAATGGCAGGTACACTGAAAAATTAAACTGGAACAAGTAGAATATAATACTTTCAACAAAAAAAACATCAACAACTATTGAGCTTATGATGTGGGGCTCCATGGGATAAATAGTGCAACAATGTTAGAATGCCATGATTTTTTAATTTTAACAAAGATACCGCCAAGGTTAACAGTGTTGACTTGCAAACAAAACTAGTAAACACTGTTAACCTTCTTAACAAATGTAACCAACTTTGCTAAAGCAGAATAGCAATCTAATACAAACACTTAAAGCACCTTCATTCTTCAACTGATTAAGCACCTTAATTCCTCTCTTCAACATTTTGCGCATGGGTTTTATCAACTACTTATACGATTAAGCATTTGTGGAGGAAAAATATCTACTGTCCCTAATTTATAGACTTAATAACTGTTCAGGAATATTAATATTTTACTAACAATTATGTCTCTATAATTGAGAGAATGTTGGGTATTGTGTATACTTTTCTTAGCCTTAATGGATTGTCTGCCTACGGCGACTAATTTGGGTAAGTCCAAAAGGGTTAGGTTTCTATTATGTATTTTTTGTAATAGTGAATTAAAGTTTTAAACCTTTTACAAGTTGTTAAAACTTAAGCGGAATAGGTTCACTTGTTCATTTTGTGCTTTATGAGTTGTTTAAAAGATAATCAACATAAGTAAATCATCCATGACAGAAAATAAAAAGCACATCTCATTTTTACATGGTTCGACAACTTGCCTACATTCATAGGACCAAGTCCAGAAGAAATTAATCCACAATGAAAAACTTATGTGTTCAAATACAAAGCTAAAGACAAGTACTGGTTGCAAAACACTCCTTGTTTACTGAACACTTCAATCTTCACTCTTTGGTTGAACATCAAGCCAGCATAGCTAGCTTCACTCCACAAAACCATCTGGTCACCCTTAAGCTCCTCTCAAGGTTCAATGCCGAAAAAGCACTTCAGCTTCAGCAGCTTGAACTCCCCCTCCAAGCCAACCATTGGAACCTGTTAAAAAAAAAAAAAAAAAAAAAAAAAAAAAAAAAAAACCTCAAACAAAGGAGAGTTAACAAGGTAATTTTAGACCCCGTTTTACTCAGTTTTTAGTTGGTAATGGATCTATATTGTGGGTGAATCGAGGACTGATTTTTGAGCATTTTCTTTTTCGTGTAATCAATAGTGAGATTAGGTAAACAGCAGACTCGATCTTGTCGAAACCTGATGACAAAACAAGCAAAAAGTGACATAGGCCCGATACCCCATTTTACTCAGTTTTTTTAGCCCATAATGGATCTCTATTGTGAGTGAATTAAGGACCAGTTTTTTTGTGTTTTCTTTTCCGTCTAATCAATACTAAGGTTAGGTAAACAACATACTCAATCTTGTTGAAAACCTGATGACAAAACGAGCAAAAAGCCACTTAGGGCTGATACCCCATTTTACTCAGTTTTCAGCCGATAAACCTAGTCCAAAAAAAAAAAAACCTCAACAAATATTCAAATAAGATACAGAGGTATATCCAAGCTTTGCAAAACAAAATGCATTGACAAAGAGAAAATGTGGAAAATATGCGCACAATGCTAGAAGACAAAGCAGCCAATAAATTGCTTTTTGGTTTTGACCTTTTAGGAAAGTTCACACAATCTTTGTTGGCACCATGGACAAGGCAAAACAAATCTTCCAATGCACCTTATGAACAATGACAAGTGTACATGGACCACAAACACATATCTTAGCCAAGAATAAAATTGCATCATTGAAAAAAAAGCGCAACATGTGTATGAAAAATATCTGGCAGATGAGTGTCATCACACAAACTCTGATGTGCCCATATGACATACATGAAAACATAAATAATTGAGTGTGGTCACATTGATAGAGAGTCATGACATTGGAATTGAAACTAAAATGATAGTGCATGAGTCAAAATGAAGTCCCCACACCAAGACTAGTGTTCCTAGTTAGTAAAAACGCGTATTGTACGCGAATTATACGGACAACCGTATAATTCGCGTATAAAATACACGTATACGAATTTTATAAATTCTGTCGAATTATACGCGTATTTTAAGCCCTCCCGTATAATTCGCGAATAATTGAAAAAAAAAGGGTCACCCCCAAAACGACGTCGTTTAGTGGGTTTTTAACTAAAAATTAAAGCAGATCTCGGTCTTCAGTTCTTCAGTTCTTCTTCGGTTCTTCCTTACTTCAGTTCTTCTTCAGCTTTTCTTCCTCAAATCTTCACATTTTCAGCTTTAAGCAACCGACTCAAGAAGATGAGTGATGGCACTAGTGTTTCGGTGTTGGCGTGTTGCAGAGACATGAAAAAAGAAAACTGTAGAAGCTTACAGAACTCTCTCCGTTTCTCTGTTTAGATAAAGATTTCCTAAGAAAGCCGTGAATGTACCAGACTCCTCTTTTGCTTGCTATATATAGTCGTACTTAGTACAATCAGTTTCATCAATAAAGCAAGAATTTATAATACACAAACGAAAAACTTAGAAATTACACAATGGCTCTAAGTCTTTTCGGTGGCCGCAGGAGCAACGTGTTCGACCCTTTCTCTCTTGACATTTGGGATCCTTTTGAAGGCTTCCCATTCACCACCACGGTTGCTAATGCACCCTCATCTGCACGCGACACCTCAGCCATTGCCAACACCAGAATTGACTGGAAGGAGACCCCGGAAGCTCACGTCTTCCAGGCTGATCTTCCAGGGCTAAAGAAGGAGGAAGTGAAAGTCGAGGTTGAAGGCGGAAGTGTTCTTCAGATAAGTGGAGAGAGGAGCCAAGAGAACGAGGAGAAGAATGATAAGTGGCACCGCGTTGAGAGGAGCAGTGGGAAGTTTACGAGGAGGTTCAGGTTGCCGGAGAATGCTAAGATGGATCAGATCAAGGCTAGCATGGAGAATGGTGTGCTTACTGTGACTGTGCCGAAACAGGAAGAGAAGAAACCTGAGGTCAAGTCTATTGAAATCTCCAGCTAAACAGAAAGAAAAAAGAGTGCCTCTGGGCTTGAATGGTGATGAAAATGTTTTGTTTAGTATCTTGTATTTCTGGTTCTTTTATGTAATACCCTTGAAATGTTGAATACTTTGCATTTAAATGTTATGTGAGTCCATAAAAGTGTTAAAACTAAGATTGATATTGCCGTATTTTTCAAAACGTATTATTGACAATGCACCGTATTAAACCCGTATATACCCGTACCATATTTTTTCCGTATCCGAATTTTATAGCCGAATTTTTATAAACATATTTTTCACCGTTTGCCGTATTATACCCGTAAAATTCCCGTACCCTTTTTTTGCCGTACCTGTATTTACTAACTAGGCTAGTGTTACCACACTAAACTCATAAGTTGACAAAATACTTACAATGTCCCCCTTTGTCAAACTTATGAACAAAGCACAATCTTTTCACAAACACACCTATCTCAACACAACTATAACCAAATAACATGAGACAAGTGAGAAACAATCCAACGTAAACAAATCTCATAAACCATAAACAACGATGCATATAAGATAAGTTGGAAAAAAAACCACAATGACTTGAACAAAGACTTAACATTTTCATCTATACACAAATTTGCACTAAGTCATACACAAACAGAACTGAATAACTCCCCCTCGCAACGTAAACTCCCCTTAAATAAATACACCAACTCACATACAAGAGATAAACAATTAGGAGTAAATAAGGGTTAGTTCAGTTCACAAAATTAGAGCCAAACAAGATTCAAATATGCAAAACAAAAAAATCAAACAATTTGTTGCATGGATCTCTGTATCAACAAACACAATGAGTTCCATCAGAAAAAAAAAAAAAATCAATTCATAAAAATATTCAACCATAAGAAACATA